GAGGGAGAAGGCTTCTTAGAAGCACACCTGCCTCTCAGAAGGCGCGGGCCTTGTCTGAAGATGTAGGGCGGGCGACTTCTAACCAGCGGCCTCCTTCTAAGAAGCCTTCCCCCCTCCCCTCCTTCCAATATTCGGTGGCAAATCATGTGAGCCTGGTAAAACCTCTTAATTCTGTCTTTAGCGCCGATTAGCGTTGATTCGCATCGATTAGCGTCTCGAGTCGATGAGATAGCGCCGACTTAGCGTCGATTTAGCCTCGATTCGCGTCGATTTAGCGTCGATGAGCGTCGATTTAGCCTCGATTAGCGTCGATTCGCAAGAGCCGACAAGGTGGTACGGGAGGCTCCCATGAGCTGCCACCGAACCGTTCTGCGCGCCGCCAGATGATCCTGCAAAGCCTGACTGGCCCGGGCGTTGCCTTGACTCGGCTCCGTGCCTCCCCGACTGGAGGGCCGACGCCCCGAGCACCTCGGGCCTCTGGACTTGGACCCCAACGAGCCGGGACGACCCCAACGAGCCGTGTTTTCCCCTTCCCCCCGCGTTCCTCCTCGTTTTCCTTGTCCTCCTCCTTTCCTCTCGTGCGACGGGAGGGCTCCCACACTTCTAGTCCTCCGTGGGCCCTTGCCCGGCTTCGGGACCGTCCAGAAACGACTCGGGAGGAAGAGCCGGTGCCGGGGAACGGGTCGAGACCTTTGGGCGTCGACGTAAGGAAAGCATCATGACGTCGGGGGTCTGGGGGTGTCGGGGGCGGCGGCTGTGCGCCGGCACCGTTCCGTGGCAGGGCGGCCCTGGGCACGGTTCCTGCAAAACAGCCAGTGTGATTTGACCCGGTGCACTTGCTGGATGCAGGTGTCGACTTGTAGTGCAAGTTCGTTTGGGTCACGTGGCGCGATGATAAAATCGCTGGGCTACGATTGCCGTTGCTGCCTCCCTGCCGCGGGATTCGCGCCTCCCTCCTGGCCTGCCCCGTGCCTCCCTCTTCTCCCTCCTCTTACCTCCTCGCCGAAGGGCCTCGAGCAGAACTGGGCCGCGCGACCATCCCGAGGCCTGGGGTCAGGGGCAGCTCGCCGGCAGGCTCGTGAAAACTCGGCGCGTGCCCAAACCCCCGACGTCAATATTTTTTCGTGCAGTGGGGGCCCATGCCAAGAAACATCCTGCTTGCCTCCAGGGTGCCCAGGGTTTCTTGGGTTTCGATGGCTTTGCTATGGAAGGCGTGACGTTCCCGCACCAAAAATCAATGGACGTCCTGGGGTCTCAGGGTTGGATTTCTCGTGAAAGGTTTCTTGTGGACTGGCCTCCATTGTAACGTCGACCCCCAGAGTTCTCGACCCGTTCCCTAGGACCAGCTTTTCATCACAAACCGTTTTTGGACGGTTCCGCGGCTGGGTGAGGGACCCAAAATGCCGAAAACAGCGGGAACCTTCCGTCTTGTTTTTTTTTTGCTCGATGGGTCTGGGTCTAGGTCATGGGCAGTTCGACGGCAGGCTCGTTCGGTAGCAGATCATGGGAGCCTGGCGTACCCTGTTGATTCCGTCTCTAGCGTCGAGTAGCGTCGGGGAGTCGATGAGATAGCGCCGATTCAGCGTCGATTTAGCGTCGACAAGCGTCGATTGGCGTCGATTCGCAAGAGCCGGCAACATGGTACGGAAGGCTCCTGCGAGTTGCCGCCGAAGGCTCGCGGAGTCTCGGCGCGTGCGCCGACTTGTGGGTGCCTGGCCAGGCCGGCGAGGGCGTTCTTGAGCGGCCTTGGGCCCAGGGCGGGCCTGGCCTGGATCGTGGTCTGCCCTCCTCCTCCTCCTCCTCCTCCTCGCGCGGTGGAGCGGGAGCCGGGAGCAGCAGGGGTGCTCGGCAGCCAAGGGGGGAGTGAGAGGGAGGGTATGGGGAGGGGGTGGAGGACAAGCTAGGTGCGCTCGCGTCATATCTGACGTCCTACCCCTCCCTCCCATTCCTTGCCCTGGCGTATGTTTCGTCTCCATTCGTGCAGCCGGATGTCGAGCAGGGAGGGCAATGATCACGAGAGGGGTACGCGATGCATGGTAGAGCACCAGATGGCATGGCCTAGAAGATCACGGCAGAGCGTAGCATGCCACATCATGCGTGGCATTGGCATTGCGCAGTGCAGCGTTGCATCACAAAACATTGCAACGCAAACCACGGCATCGCACAGCGGCGCAGAACACACAGCACCGCACAGTATGTCATGGCATGGCGCCAGGGTCCTTGGAGAGGGTAAGTGGATCGCTTTCGAGAGTTCTGGACCAGTCTGGAGTCGTGGCTCCATGTCGGCGGCGAGAGAGGGGGGGAATCGAGAAGGAGAAGGTCTTCTCAGAAGGCGGCGGGACTTCTCACAAGCCCTCGCGCCTTCTGAGAAGTTGTTTCTGTCTTCGGGGAAGGCCTAGAAAACTTCTCAGAAGTCCGGGGGACTTCCGAGCCTTCTGAGAAGGCACGCCCCTTCTCACTTCCCCCCCTGGCTCGCCACCTACCATGTCTAGCTCCTTGGGCTCCCCGAATAGCTCCGCACAAGGCGGGTCTGATGGAGGGCACCCGCTATTTCGTTTTCTCCAAACAGAAACGGGGCTCCCGCTTGATATTTCCTGAAAATCACGACGCCCCAAAGGGGGGTTTTTCTGCGTCCCAGAAAATTAACAAATCAACACAGAATGTGTAATCACTTCAGATGGTTTTTTCGGGGGGTCATCTTTTAGATTTTGGGGCCCAATCGGAAGGACCGAAAACGCCCGCGCTGCAGCGGGAACACGGTTTGGAACAACCAGAGGCGCAGGAATGGGGCCATCGCTTCAGCTGGAGTAACATTTTGAAAACAAGCCCAAGCGAAAACCCCTTTCCCAGGAATCCTGTGTATAAAAAGCAGTACGCGGAGGAGGGGCGGATACCTTCCGGACGTCATCAGGGGAGACAGGAGAGTAGTATTCGTATTGTGTATTTGTGGAGAGGCATGAACAGGGAGAGGTTAGTGTCGGGGGCTTGGAGCCGTCTGGGGGTCTGAGGTGCCCAACCTTAGTTCCAGCCAGCAGGAATGGCGTGCAGGTTCGAGGTTCTGGTTTCGGGATTTTTTTTTTTTTTCATCTGCCTTCTGGGCCCTATTTCGGGTCCCGGGACTATGAAGACGGATCTGGGGTGAAAAATTTCACCCGATGGACCCCGGGAGGGGTCGGGGGACTGATTTTGAGCGGATTTGGCTTCATCCTCCCCTCCTGACCGACTAGCTGGGGCCCCAAGCAGTTCAGACTCCCCGGCCGCTTCCAATCTGGGGTAACGTTATTGGGGGAGATAGGCTTAGGGGGTACCGCCTCGACCTGCAATCGCCAGTTCATCGCCCATAGCCCAGCCCTCTCATGAACTCGCGGATTCGCTATCGGGGGCCTATCGCCGATCCGTCGGCGACGCATCGCCGATTCCAGCTTGATGTTTCCCCCCCTGTGCTAGTCCCCCCCTAACGTTTCCCCTCAAGGCAGAGGGAGAGGTGGAGGATTAAGCATGATGGGGCCAGGATGCAGAGGCGTCGAGGAGGAGGAGGGGGCTGAAAGGGGAGGAGGGGGGCAATACAGGGGTGCGGGGGACGAGGGAGGCAGCGGAGCTGGAGCAGGAGGAGGAGGAGGAGGAGGAGGAGGAGGAGGGGAGGAGGAGGAGGAGGAGGAGGAGGATGAAAGCGAGAATGCGGCGGAGCTGGAGCCTGACGGAAAGGGCAGGCGGGGGTGGAGCAGGAGACGGGGGTGCTGAAGTTGCGTCTCGGCAGCGTGCCCAGGGGGCAAGGCAGAGGGAGCGCTTTGGCCCTCCGCCGAAGCCGCAGAGGGCGTTTCAGAAGACCGGAGGGCTTCTGAAGAGCCCCGCGGCCTTCTGAGAACTCCTCCGCCCTCTCGCTTCCCCCCCTCGGCGCGCCGTGGTTGCTCTAGCTCGCCAGCTGTCGCCACCGTCTGCAACGTTTTGTAGACTCCGCTCCCTCGGCCAGCCATACGTGTGTGGATGAGCGAACGGGCCAAGATCTGACGGGTCTCGAGCTTGAGGGCAAGGCAGGGACTTAGTTCTGAGCTCGTCTGCCCTTCGTCCATACTCTTGGCGGAGGTAGGCCTTCTTATTTTCACAGCTGGACTGTATTCGATCCGCTGGCCAGGAGGGGGACACCTGGGAGGAGGTCAGGCTAGACGACGTAGTGGCCAGCTCTCCGTCGTCATCTTCCTGTTCTTCCTCCTCCTCTTCGCTCCACCCTGCCGCTCCTACTCCTTGCCCTCCCCCTCTCACTCACCCTGCTGCTGCTGCTGCTGCTCTTCTTCTCCGAGGCACGCAGCGGCATGCCAGCAAGGAAGTTCCACTCTTCCCTGGTGGGGCAGCCACGGGTCAGGGGCGCCTGGCAGCAGGCGGCCGACAGGCGTGGGAGGTGAGGCGCGATGTCCCGCCCTCTCACCCCGGACCCCTATCTAGTTTCTTCCAGTTGAGCACCGCTGATCCAGCCCGCAGCCTCGGTCGAGGCGCGGCCAGGCCACGGGGGGGTGCCGCCCGCACACCAGCACCGATCCTGGCGAGGTCCCGCCCCGGGCGCGGGTCCGAGGAGCCGTCCGCTCCTCCCAGGCAGACAGGGCTCATGGGCCGAACAGCACGGGCATGGCCCGGATCGGTGTTGGCGTGGGGGAGGATGGGAAGAAAGGGGGCCTTGTGCAGGGAGGCGCGAGGACCTCAGCTTCCTGCTGCCCCCTCCGCTTCGGCGAGGCCGAGCGGCGGGTGTAGCCCAAGGGGGCTGGCGGGGTCGCTCCTCAGAGGGACTATCTCCTCTTCTTCCCCTCCGCTTCCTCCTCGCGCTCCCTGTGGTGTGACTTTTCGATTGGCGTGTGTGTATGTGTGCGGTGTCGCTAGACGTGCGAAACCGTTCTTTGGCACCTCCCCCTCCCCAGTCCCCGCTCCCCTTTCTCTGCCCTCCCCTACCCTTTCTCCTTCTTCTGTCGCTTAGGCGGTGAAGACATGACCACGGGAGGGACGGAGGGGAGGACTACACTGAAAGTGCCTCCAACGACCGCTGACGCACAGCTGCAGCATTTCTCTGCGTTTGTTGTTGCTTCCTTCTGCGTGGGGTCTATCATGTATCGAGTGGGTGGCTGGAGTTGTCCAGTCTGCTCGCGGCATGCATGGATCAGCAACACGGCTTTGTGCGACATGGGTTGGAAGTGGGTTTATGTTTGAGAGAGCATGTAACGCAGAAGCGCCGTAGCATGGCAGAGAAGTTCTCGGTGTCCATATGTTGCTGTTCTGAGCAAGGCCAGCAGGGTGGACCTGCAAGCTCGAACTTGCCCGAAGGTGATGACGAGGGTGTAGACCAGTACAAGAAGGGTGGCTACCACGTTGTGAACATCGGGGAGGTCTCAATTCGATTAGCTGCACACTTCTCTTCGCTTGGGCAGTACCTGAAAACACGGTTTCTTCATGAGTGCACGCGCGGACGGATATTCCCCGAGACGGTTCGCCCCCAGTGGACGAGTAAAAAGGGAGAGGAGGAGGAGGATGAGAGGGAGGAGGAGAAGGAGAAGGAGAAGGAGAAGGAGAAGGAGAAGGAGAAGGAGAAGGAGAAAGAACATGAGGAGGAGGATGAGGAGGAGCAGGAGGAGGAGGACGGAGGAGGAGTGTAAGTCGGAAGAGGAGGCCGAGGATGGGGAGGAGGATGGGCCCCCCTGTCGTCAAAACTCGCAAGTCTTTCCGAGGCAATCGTGCCGTTCGTCGAGGCGGCACGCATGTAGCTCCACACTTCCCATCGATCTTTTCGCGCTGTTTTCAACACCTCGAGCGTGCAGGATCACAATCGTGCCGTTTTTCCGCTCGTACGGGGCGAGGGAGTGGCCGAGTTTTTGTTTGTCCTCTAGACTGCTATCGGAAGTCTTGGTGGAAGACCGCGAGCCTTGCCTGCCTGCGCCCCCCGGGCGCCCCGCGCGCAGCGTGCCCTGCGCCCTGCGCGCAGGGCGCTCGCTTCGACTTCGCGCGTCGCGCCGGTGCCGCGCGCCAGAGACCCGAGGCCACAGGAAGCGTTTCGGGAGGCAAGGTCGGTCCTGAGAGGCCCGCCGCTTCACTGGAAGGCCGCCCCACTCGCCCTAGGAGCAGAAAACACGCTGCAGAACCAAACGGACAAATCAGGCGGGTAGACCCTGACGGGCAGGTCGGGGAGGCGGGCCCAAGCGACCAGGTCGAGAAGGCGCGCTGCTGAGGCGTGAGCATTGTATGAATCGCGAGGAGAGCTCGAGCGAGAACGCCATCTCCAACGAAATCGTCAGACAGTGCATCCCCCGTCCGCCCGTCGCGCCGTCTGTCCTGGAGCGCCACGCCTGGGCGCGGCGCGCTCACCACGGCGCGGCCCCCGCGCGCCCACGCCCGGAGCCTGCCTCGCCCCGCGCCCCCCGCGCCCCGCGGAGCCGCGCGCCGCCCGCCCGCGAGGGCAGGCGTAGGCTGTCGCTGGGCCGCCGCCGCGGAACGCGCGGGGCACACGCTGCCGACCGCGTGTGGGGCGCCCGCGGCTCTTCGGCCGTCGCTTCGCCGCCTCCTCCTCCCCCCGCCCTCTTCTCGGGGGCGGCGAAGAGGGGGGTGATGACCAGGGGGGGTGGATATCATGGCGGGGGCCACGATGTTTCCTCAGATTTCGTGGCGCCTCTTCTCATTCCACCACGTCCCTGGCCCCCCCCGCTGGGCCGCGCACACGCCGCCGGTCATGGTTTGCACCTCCCCCCCTCTTGGACACCCCCCCATCTTGGCCGCTCCCGACTCTTGCACGGTGGCACGCCTCGCTCAGTGGCAGCCCCCCTTTCTGCTCCCTCGCAGGGGCGGTGACCCTGCCTGGCCGCCGGCGAAAGTGAAAGGGGCGCTCAGGGGCGACCTGCTTCGCTCGGGCTCGGGGAGAGGCCGAGCGCCCGAGCCGCCCGGGACCGGCGCCCTCTCTCTCCGGGCGAGGCGCACACCCGGAAGGGCGACTGCCCCCGAGCGTTACGCGTGCTCGGCAGGCCGCCCCGCCGCCTCGCTGCGGGGGCCGACGAGTGGAGCTTTGACTCCTCCTCCTGCCTCCTCCTCCTGCTTCCTCCTCCTGCCTCCTCCTCCTCCTCCTCCTCCTCTTCCTCCTCCTCCTCCTCCCTCCTCCTCCTCCTCCTCCTCCTCCTCCTGTAGACCCTGCGCGCCCAGCTGCAACTCCTGGGGGGGGGGGCAAGATCCAGCATCGGCGCTGGTACAGCTGCGGTCGGCGAGCTCCCTGCTCCGATCTCCAGCGATCCGTTCTCTTTCCGACCCGGCGCTTTTCCTGGACTTCGGCCTCTGGGGCCCCGCCTCGGGCCCTGGGACCATGCAAAATTCGTCCAGCGAAGGGGTGTTCACGGTTCGGTTGGTCCGGTTGCGTCGCAGTCGGTTACGCTCGACCGGTTCGGTTCGATCGGTGATTGTGTCTTTGCTGCGTCCCTGCGCCCGCTGCCTTCGGCCTTTCGGTCGGTTTCGGTTTCGCTGTGGGTTCGGTCGGTTTTCTGTTTTGCTGTCGCCGTGCAAAATATATCGGAGGATGTCCGAAAATCCCGTTTCCTCTTGTTGACTTCCGCTCAGCAGGTCGGAATCCTGGGCCTGTTGTGTGGCCTTGTCTTGCCCGACGGCCCCGGAACCATGGGGCGTCGTGGAGAGGGTCATCCCAAGGTGGGGGTGAACGAGCCCCGAGCCCAGCTGGATGCTCACACTTCTGGCTTTAGAACGGTTTTCTCTGACTCCACCTCTGCCCTCTACCCCAGATGTAGGCCCCCCCCCCACGATCGGGCTCAGTTGCCCTTGATCGGTCCCACGAAGACCTCACAGGAGTTGTCCCCTAGGCTTCGGCGCTGTTGGGGGCTCGCGCGGGAGGGCCAATCTGCGGGTTTTCTTCTTTCTCCTCCTCTTCCTCCTCCTCTTCCTCCTCCTCCTCCTCTCCTCCTCCTCCCCTCTCCTTTCTCCTCTCCTCCTCTCTCCCTCCTCCTCCCTCCCTCCTCCTCTGCCTCCTCCTCTCTCCCCTCCTCCTCCTCTCCTCCCCTCTCCTCGTCGTCGTCCTCCTCCTCCTCCTCCTTCTCCTCCTCCCCCTCCTCCTCCTCCTCCTCCTCCTCCCCCGCAGCGCTGATACGTTTTAGGAATGAACTTGTATCGCTGCTCTATTGCTGAAGCCCACGGTGGACAGAATGACGAGAGGATCGGCAGAGCAAACGAATCTGGTGCCAACAGGTTTACAACAGCCGCTACCGGGTCGTCGCGAAGCTGGGCTGGGGCCACTTCTCGACCGTATGGCTGTGCGAGGACACGCCAGCACGGGCACTCCGCCTCCTGTTACCTGGGGGTTTTAGGGGGGGACAGACTCAGTGGGGGGATGCATCGACCCCCAGTCGCCCATTCATTGCCGATGGGGGCCCGATAGCCCACCCCGCCCAGCAAGACCAGTTTCGCCATCCGGGGCCTATCGCCGATCTCTGTCGTCGGCAAGGTATCGCCGATTCCAGCTCGATGTCTCTCAGCCTAGAGCTGGTCCTCCCCCAAATCCTGCCCCTCAGGGGGCAACGTCAGGGGAGGATGGGTGCAGGTGGGGATGGATCGACCCCCAGTCGCCCATTCATCGCCGATAGGGGCCCGATGGCCCACCCCGTCCACGACCGGGGGGTTTCGCCATTGGGGGCCCATCGCCGATCTACCAGCGATGCATCGCCGATTCCAGCCCGATGCCTCCCCCACTGGCTGAGCGGTCTGCCCCCGCCGCTCACCTCCACCTCCTTGTGCGCACGGGCCCCTGATGCGTCTGCGCTCCGCTGCTCCCATCCGCCTCTCGACTCGGCCTCGAGGTCGCGAGCTGGGTGCGAGAAGTGCGGCGGGGGATCGAGGAGGAGGAAGAGGCAGAGGGGAGGAGGAGGGGAAGGGGAGGGAGGGAGGGGGAGGGGACCCCCCGCCCCCTCCACAAATACACTACAGGAATACTACCCTCCTCTCTCCCCTGATGTCGGGCGGAAGATGTCCAGCCCCCCTCCGCGTGTTGTTTTTTTCCATACCAGATTCCTGGGAACTGCGTTAGTTTAGTTATTTGTTCAAAACGTTGCTCCCGCTGAAGTGCTGGCCTCATTTTCGGGCTTCCGCTCGTTTCGAATCGTGCTCCCGCTGCAGCGCTGGTCACATTTCCGCGCTTCCGCTCGTTCCGAATCCTGCTCCCGCTGCAGCGCTGGCCTCATTTCCGCGCTTCCGCTCGTTCCGAATCGTGCTCTCTGCAGCGCTGGCGTCATTATTTTCAGTGCCATGCCACGTCATGGTTTTCGGTCCTTCCAAATAGGCCCCCAAATCTAGAAAGTGGCCTCCCGAAAAACCATCGGAAGTGATTGCACATTCGGTGTCGATTCGTTGATTTTTTTGGCCGCAGAAGCCCCCCCACTTTGGGGCGTCGCCACGCCATGCTATGCCATGCTACACGTTGATCTTCAACACCATGCTATGCTATGCAATGCTATGCCGTGATACGGCATCCGACTGTGCGAATAGAGAGGAGATTTACGCCATGGTATGGGACGGGAGGGAGGGGTAGGACGTCAGATATGACGCAAGCACACCTAGCTTGCCCCTCCCCCCTCCCTCCTCCCTCCTTCCCCCTCCCCTCCTCCCTTCCCCCCTTTACTCCCCCTCCTTCCCCTCCTCCCTGCCCTCAGGCGAGGAGGGGAAGGATTGGGAGGAGGAGGGAGAAGGGGGGGGCAGGATGGGGAGGGAGGGGAAGGAGGTAGGATGGAGGAGGATCCAGGATCGAGTTTTTTCCCAACCCTCTTATCGTTGGGTACTCGTTTTGAATAGAGCAGTGTGGTCGCCCCATCCTCCTCCTCCTCCTCCTCCTCCTCCTCCTCCTTCTCCTCCTCCCCTCTCCTCCCCTCCTCCTCTCCTGTTTCCTGTGTTCCCCTCTCCTCTTCTCTCGTGCCGTCGGGCTTGCGATCTGCGCAACCGTCGCCACTTTCGTGGGCTCCTGGGAGGCCCAGCGGAGGTGGGTCCCACGCGAATCACCTCGGTAGCTCGCCGCCCCCTGGGGGGCTTGCGATCTGCGCAACCGTCGCCACTTTCGTGGGCTCCTGGGAGGCCCAGCGGAGGTGGGTCCCACGCGGATCACCTCGGTAGCTCGCCGCCCCCTTGGGAGCTTGCGATCTGCGCAACCGTCGCCACTGTTCGTGGGCTCCTGGGAGGCCCCAGCGGAGGTGGGTCCCACGCGGATCACCTCGGTAGCTCGCCGCCCCCTGGGGGCTTGCGATCGCGCAACTCGCGCACTTTCGTGGGCTCTGGAGGCCAGCGGAGGTGGGTCCCACGCGGATCACTCGGTAGCTCGCCGCCCCTGTGGGGCTTGCGATCTGCGCAACCGTCGCCAATTTCGTGGGCTCCTGGGAGGCCCAGCGGAGGTGGGTCCCACGCGGATCACCTCGGTAGCTCGCCGCCCCCTGGGGGGCTTGCGATCTGCGCAACCGTCGCCATTTTCGTGGGCTCCTGGGAGGCCCAGCGGATGTGGGTCCCACGCGGATCACCTCGGTAGCTCGCCGCCCCCTGGGGGGCTTGCGATCTGCGCAACCGTCGCCACTTTCGTGGGCTCCTGGGAGGCCCAGCAGAGGTGGGTCCCACGCGGATCACCTCGGTAGCTCGCCGCCCCCTGGGGGGCCTAATGCTATGCTATGCTATGCTATGCTATGCTATGCTATGCTATGCTATGCTATGCTATGCTTTTGCTTTGCCTTCGCTTTTGCCTTCACTTTTGCCTTTGCTTTTGCCTTTGCTTGGCACCCAGGGAGCGCAACGGGGGGAACCGCGCGTTTGCTTTTACCTTTGCTGTTGCTTTTGCTTGGCTCCCAGGGGACTGGGGGAACCTCCCGGGGCGGTTTCCACTGCCCGGCCCCTTTAAGCCAACAGAGTAAGAACCCTTCTAGGCAGAGCCTATGTAGGGAAAAACTTCAGGCAAATCAATGATTTTGGCCTCTTCGGGCCCTCCTGGAGGACCTCTTGGAGGCCTCTTGGGCCATCTTGGAGGCCTCTGGGGGGCCTCTTGGGCCGTCTTGGGCCGTCTTGGACTCTCTTGGGCCATCTTGGAGGCCGTCTTGGACCATCTTGGGCGGACTTGGAGGCCATCTTGGACCATCTTGGAGGCCATCTTGGGCCAACGTTTCCATCTTGGACGCCATCTTGAGCCGTCTAGGAGGATTTTTCCGGGAATTGGGCGATCTACGGGTGGCCGGCGGGTCGGGCCGAAGCCCACTGGGAGAGTTTTTTTGGAAAAAGAACCAAAACCAAAACCGAGAGGGTCAAGCACGCCAGGCACCCCTGCGATGAATCGACAGGGGGCGGCGGATCGAAGACGCCTACGGCGAATCACCGCCGCCCCCTGCCTTTTTGGAAGCGCCGATGTGGCCGAACGTTGAGGCCAGACCTGCCAAGCTATCGGACCATGTGTTCCCCGAATCGGTTTGGAAAGCCTTCGGGGAACACGTGGGCATCTTGAAGGTCATCTTGGCCGTCTTGGAGGCCTCTTGGGCGATCTTTCGGCGATCTTTGGGGGCTCTTGGGCCGTCTCGGGCCGTCGGAAGGCCGAAAAGAAGGAAATGTCAAAATCCATAGAAAACCTTAGGAACATCAAGGTTTTTGGCCTTTTCTGGCCTTCCTGGAGGCCCTCTTGGGGGCCTCTTGGGCCGTTTTGGGCCAGCTTCGAGCCAACTTCGGCCATTTTGGTGGGTTCCTGGCACGTCTGACGCTGTCGGGAGCCGTCTTGGGGGCCTTTCTGGGCCAACGGGGGACCCTCTTGGGGGCGCTTCGGGGCCGTCTTGGAGGCAACCTTGACCGTGTTGGAGGCCATCTTGGGCGTCTTGGAGGCCTCTTGGACCGTCTTGGGGCCTTCTTCGGGCCGTCTTGGGGGCCTCTTGGGTCGTCATGGGGTCATCTTGGAGGCCTCGTGGGCGATCTGGAGACGATCTTGGGGGCCTCTTGGACCGTCTAGAGCCGTCTGAAGGCCGAACAGGCGAAAATGCTAAAATCCTCCAAAACCCTCAGACAAATCAATGATTTTGGCCTCTTCGGGCCCTCCTTGAGAACCTTTCGACGGGCTCTTGGGCTGTCCTTGAGGCCTCTTAGGGGCCTCTTGGGCCGCCTTGGGCCATCTTGAGGCTATCTTAGGCCGTCTTGGGTACATCTTGGGCCGTCTTGGAGGCATCTTAAAGCCATCTTAGCCGTCTTGGAGGCCATCCTGGCCGTCTTGGAGGCATCTTGGAGGCCATCTTGGAGCCGTCTTGGGCAGGAAAGTAGGGAATTGAGCTCCTTGGCAATCCTCCCAGTACCCAGGCGGGACGGGCCGAAACCCACTGGGAGAGTTCTCTTGGAAAAGAACCAACACCAAAACCTAGAGGGTTCAGCACGCCAGGCACCCCTGCGATGAATCGACGGGGCGGCAGATCGAAGACGCCTACGGCGAATCACCGCCGCCCCCTGCCTTTGTGGAAGCGCCTATGTGGCCGAACGTTGAGGCCAGACCTGCCAAGCCATCGGACCATGTGTTCCCCGAATCGGTTTGGAAAGCCTTCGGGGAACACGTGGGCGTCTTGATGGTCATCGTCGCCGTCTTGGAGGCCTCTTGGGCGATCTTTCGGCGATCTTTGGGGGCTCTTGGGCCGTCTCGGGCCGTCGGAAGGCCGAAAAAAGGGAAATGCCCAAATCCATCAAAAACCTTGGAAAAATCAGTAATTTTGGCATCTTTTGGCCTTCCTGGAGGCCCTCTTGGGGGCCTCTTGGGCCCTTTTGGGCCAGCTTCGAGCCAACTTCGGCCATCTTGGTGGGTTCCTGGCACGTCTGACGCCGTCGGGAGCCGTTTTGGGGGCCTTTCTGGGCCAACGGGGGACCCTCTTGGGGCGCTCCAGGGCCGTCTTGGAGGCCATCTTGGGCGTCTTGGAGGCCATCTTGGGCGTGTTGGAGGCCTCTTGGGCCCTCTTGGGGCCCTCTAGGGGCCATCTTGGAGGCCACTTGGGCCATCAGGGGGCTCTCTTGGGGGCCTCTTGGGGGATCTTGGGGGCTTCTTGGGCCGTCTTGAGCCGTCGGAGAGCCGAAAAGGCGCAAATGCCAAAATCCTTCAAAAACCAATGGAAAATCAATGATTTTGGCCTCTTCGGACTCTCCTGGAGGACCTCTTGGAGGCCTCTTGGGCCGTCTGGGAGGCCTCTGGGGGGCCTCTTGGGCCGTCTTGGGCCGTCTTGGACTCTCTTGGGCCGTCTTGGAGGCCGTCTTGGACCATCTCGGGCGGACTTGGAGGCCATCTTGGGC